ATGTAAAAGAAGATCTTTTAATTTTTTTTAAATGTAAAATATTGCAACACGTAAAACTATTCCAGTTATTTTTTATTTTATTTTACATATAAAATTTAATCAATATTTAATGCATCCTACAAAATTAGATTTAGTTTAATTCTCCATACAATTGGTTATAACTTTTTCAGTTGTACTTTATTTATTTATTTATTTTATACTTTTAAATTAATTAAGCTCTCCGAAAATACCAAATCAAATGATTTATGAAAGTTTTTTTTTTGTTTTTTTTACAATTTTAAATCTATATACCCAGCTTAAAAAACTCATCGTATAGATATGGATAAGTTTAAGAAAAATTTCATAACCCAGCTTATAAAATTCCATCTCCACGAGTCAAAAAATCACATCCTTCTATCGTAACAACTTTAAAGGTAAATAAATAAAAGTCTAATTACTACTATAATCCATTATCTATATAGATTTTTTAAAAATCTAAATTTCACCTGTCTAATTACTAATATTTTAGATATTTTTAAATATTATTTGTATAAATTTTTTTACACATTTTCTCTCTCTCTCTATATATACATATATGGAGGTTAAATGAATAATTTTTATACATATTTTTCTTACGGGTAGTTTAGAAAAATTTAGGTAGCTTCAAACATTATTTTTGAATAATATAGAATATTTTAGATGTTTTTATAGATGTTATAAAATATTTTAAGTATTTTTAATATTTATATATCACACTTAAAAAGAATATTTTGCAAAAAAAAAAACATTAAATACACAGTGTGAATGTTAATAGAAACAGTTTTCAGTGTTCGTCTTTGATTTTATCAAAACAAATCTCATAATATCGGTGAAGTTTAAATTTGTACGTAAAGCCTATCTATACTAAAAAAAAGTAGATTCAAAATTTATTATCTAATTTCTTATTTTCCTTATCTAATTCCTTATTATTATCTAATTGTATATAAATCTGTTCTGATTTTGTTCAATCCTCTAATTGTATTTGTATTATATCCCATAAAATCGGTTTAACAAAAAAATCCCATAACATTTGATAAGTAAAAAAAGTGCGTAAAATCTTTACTAAAATAAAAAAGGCTTTATTTATTATCTAATTTTGTAGAAATATGTTCTGATTTTATAGTACGTACTACAAATTGTGCACCCGTGTTCAGGAGCTACTTAACATGCAGCTCTGTGGAAATAACTCATTTAGTGCTTTTGTCCCGTGCATACGGTATGTATTTGTATTACACATACTAGAAAAATTGTGCACCCCGTGCATCGCACCGACTTTGTACTAATAAATGACCTTAAAATTGTGCATCCCGTGCATCACTCGTGTTCACATTTGGCCTATTACAGGTCACGTACTATATATATCCCGTACATTTTTTTTATTCATTTATATAATTATAAGACTTGATAAATGACATTAATTTTGTGCACCTGTGCATCGCACGGGATCTGTACTAGTATGGAAAAAAAAAAACAAACTATAAATGATAAAACTTTATTTGACCTAGCCTCCAACTTTTTAATACAAGATATTTTTGGATATTCTACACCTTGTAAAACATCCTACAAAATACAAAATATCTTATCATAGTCTACATCTTGTTGCACATAGACATTGATGCAATTTTTTTTTTTATGAAAAAAAAAACCTTGTTTCAATTGTTTGAATCAGTTTAGGGTCACAGTAATTAATTAACAAAAAAATGATTGTATGATATATAGCAAATATAAGAATTATAGACTATGTGAGTGTTATGTACATTTCTATGTACATTTATTATGTACATATAGCATTTTTCTTTTATTAATTGGAACTGGTGATTCCTCACTTTTAAAATATTTATAATTAGTTATTCGACTAAATACTAATTTCATAAATATTTATAATTAAGCATGATTAGTTATAAATAATAATATAGTATAAAATATAATTTAAAGCTTCTTTTTAATATAGCGAGTTACGAAAACTTGATTATAACCCTATTGTTTTATGTACTTAACGCTCACAAAAAGAGAGGTGGAAAATAGACGATAACCTTATTATTTTTAGACTTAAACAGACCGAGTCTGTGAAAATTAACTCATTTAATATTTTTTATCATGACCAATTATACGTCGTTGTTTCACGTGTTACTAATAGGAAGGGGTTGAAAATATTAGTTTGTGGGGACGACGAGTTACCCCATAATCAAACTAATAACATTGTATATAAGGAGGTTTTTAATAATGTATGACTTTTTACCAATGAAAAATTTATGTTTACTTTATGAATGTCCTGCGTATTATAATATCTTATTAATTAATGACCTTTTAATTTTTTAAATTTTCTAAAATATGTACTAGCCCGTGCATCGCACGGGTTACATACTAGTATATATTAAAAGCCAACCTATTTACCAAAAACAGTAGCAAGAAAAGTCAACACGCATTTAATGCACACTTTAATTGGAAATTTTTACTATATGCATTAAATGCTTGCATATTTACATTTACTATCCAAATATGATCTTTAAGATTTTTCCTTAAATAATTTATGCAATGATTTTACTGATATCCATTATAATTAATATTTGTCGAGTAATATTTTTTAACCTTTATTTAATTATATTATATAACACTAATATTTTTTTAAAAAATTAATATTATTTATTATTTAAAAGATAATGATCACATCATTAAATGATTTTATTGATGGTTAGATAATAAAATTATAGTTATTCTTTAAAATTTCGACATGTTATTTATTTGTATAATATTGCCAACTATGATAGTGTTTTTATCACTTTTTTTTGGTTATGTTTCAAAAATAAACTTATTGTAAAATATTTTTCTATTGCATAGTATGTTAAATAAACTATAAAGTCTTAAGATGAAAATTAAAAAAAAAAAAAAAAAATCTCTTGATTATGTAAGGGATTTATTTTTTGGCAATTGCTAAATCTTTTAAAAAAAAATTATTATGAGAAAATTGAATTCTAAAAAACATGTGTGCGTATTTTGTAAACATTTATACTCAAAATTTTATTTTGAATTTCATTACATAAAGAAGACTACTTCTATAACTTTTATAAATAATAATAATTACATTATATGGTTGTATTTTATAATAAAATGATAATTGAGTATTATATGGTGAACAATAATTAATGAAATTTTTATTTTTTCCTATATCAATGAATAAATATGTATTCTAAAATCAAATAAATATTAGTATGACGTGTTAGCGGAATTACATATTAATTAACATGTTAATTTTTTGGCTTAAATAAACGCCACTTATTAAAAGATGTGAAATATGGATGATTCGAGCCTATTGTTTTTTTGTCTAGACGTACAAGTCCTATAGAAATAATTGATTTATTATATGTATCACGTGCATCCCACGGGGTATGCACTAATAAATGACCTTAAAATTGTGCACCCCGTGCATCACCCGTGTTCACATTTTGGCCTATTACAAGTCACGTACTATATATATCCCGTATATTTTTTTATTCATTTATATAATTATAAGAATAGATAAATGGCCTTAAAATTGTGCACTCCGTGCATCGCACGGGCTCTGTACTAGTTTGACTTTTAAAGTCCAACTCTAAAATTCTAACTATTAATTTAGTAATTCCAATAATTACTTAATTAATATCTAAAAAGCCTAATTAATCAATCCAATTGATTAATTTATTTTATTCCTTTAATTGACATCCAATCAAAATTAGATTTTAATTAAATAATCAAATTATTTAATTAAGACTTGTCAATTAATCTAACTATTGGAAATACCAATTGCGACATTGTCATTATCCAAAATTTGGTGTGACCCTTTTAGGTTCACAATTAACACTAGTAGTGGGTTTAAAATTTGTTTGTAATTTAAATTAATCTAATTAATTTATATTCTTGAAATTAACTCCTTAATTTCAAGAACCCACAAATCATGGGAACATCTAGCAAGTAGCATGATCATATAGTATTAAGTGAAATAGCGAGTAAATCTTTTCAATTCAAAGTGCATACATGTAAAATCCTTTCGACAACTAATTTCCCGATTAAATCTTGGGTATGGTTTTTAGTCGAAACCCATTTCATTTAATAACTATGTTTCCATTTCAAGTTTAATGATTTCTTTATGAATCCATATTCATCTTGCCTTGGCCAAGGTCTTTGAATCACAAACTATGAAAAACATAGGAAATTCTCTTATTTACATAAGTGTCGAATTCTATGTTGGCCACAGATAAACCTCCATACATATTAATAC